ATACTCCAAGGAGTCAGTTCAGAAATCCCGGGTTAATTCTAACACCATGTTCTCCAGCAGAGACTTCGTAGTGAGGGGCTAGTGGCTGTTCCTCTAATGCTGGACCCTTCCTCCTTGTTCATGCCTGTGGGGACCACAAAAGATGGGGACCCCTAGCAGCACATCCCACCTTCCCCATTTTCCCACAAGACGCTGCAGAATTGCTGGAGCTAGAACATTCTTCCCCTCCTAGAAACCCCAGGTTTGATCCTGCAGCTGTGACTGGCCAAGGAGACGGCCAACTCCTATAGTCTAGACACACTTCTTTGGAAGAAACCCCAGACAGAGATTCAGAGGGAGACTGAGCGTGTGTGTATTAGAACTTTCACGAACATGACACCCAAATCACATAGTTTTTCTGGATCTTTTTGAGACATTCGACCAAGTAACAAGAAGTTTCTCTCCCTTTAAAAAGATTTTGCCCATTTTTCTTTCAGCCACCTATAGGCATATAAGGCTACCCAACCTTTATTTCAGAGTTTCGCAAAAATTGTGTGATTCTGTCATAGACATAAGAATCAGATGTTTCTTCCTGTCTTGGGAGGAAATTCCAGAGACCAACAGCTTTAATAAAACTTTCAGAATTTGGACAAGTTAAAATGAAGGCAGACTAGGTGCAAAGATGGTGTACACACCCCAAAACCAGGGCTTGAAAGCCCTTTGACTATGTGAGCATGTTTGAGGCTTCTTGCCTTGAGCATGTCCTCACAATGGCTCGGAGACCAGGGCGTTTTAATACTCCTCAAGGGGTAACCAGAATTCCCTCAGTGGACCTGGCCGTATGTCAACCAAAACTGAAACTGAAGGAAGGTGCCAGGGTGACCTGCTTATTCCAGGGGTATGTGTGTGTCACTCAGAGGTCTGAGTGCACGCTGCCCCGTGTGCACTGCATCTTGCTTCTCTGAAGACACCTCTAGATGACTATTGCTATCTTCCAAGGAGACCAACAGGAAAAGCCTGTAAATCTTTGTCTGAGCCATTTATAGCTTTTTCCATGATGGCTACCTTGAAGCTTGTAACTGATCAGGTAATTATCCTGAACTGAATTTGAGACTTTGAGAACTGATTTGTGAATAGCTCTATTTTTTAAAAAAATGTTTATTTTCGGCTGCATTGGGTCTTAGTTTTGGCACATGGGCTTCTCTTGATTGTGGCCCAACACGTGGTCTCTGTAGACTGTGGCACGCTCTCTCTAGTTGAGGCCTGCAGGCTTTCAGACCCCCAACCAGGGATGCAACCTGTGTCCCCCGCATCGCAAGGAGGATTATTAACCACTGGATCATCACTGAAGTCCTGCTTTAAACACAGCGTAGGAATTACACAATCCTGCAAACTAAACCTCACTTCAGCTTCATTTTAATTCGCTCCCCTGATTTCCCCTTTGCCCTGATTGCTTTATCTAATCTGCTCCACATCATTTGTTGTTGCTTAGTCAGTAAGTTGTATCCAACTCTTTTGCAACTCCATGGACTGCAGTCTGCCAGGCTCCTCTGTCCATGGGGTTTCCCAGGCAAGAACACTGGAGTGGGTTGCCATGCCCATTTGACAGCTAGATTAAAGACAGAAGATCTTAAAAGTTCTCATTACAAGAAAAAAAAATGGTACCTTTGTGTGGTGATGGATGTTAACTGGACTTTTTGCAGTTATCATTTTGCTATAGCTAACGTACTGAATCACGCCATACACCTGAAACTAATGTATTATATGTCCATTTGCCTCAGTTGAAAAAACGAAAGTTAAAAATGTTTAAAAATGAGTGGAAGAAGCCATGGTTCTTATTTCAAAGGATACTCCCTGCCCAGTGGCCTAGTTTTTTTTCTTTTCTTGCTTCACTTTGCTCGTGTATGCTGGCCCCTGTATTCTCCAGCCAGTCATCCCCTCCCCCGGACAGCACTCAGAAGCCCTTAACAATAGCTGGTCCACCGGGGAGTGGAGCTTACAGCGCAGTCCGCATCAAAGCCCTTGGCACAGACCCGCATCCCGAGGACATGCTAAATTGTATAACTATCCGCTCTCTGCTGTGTTTCAGGGAAGCTGACAGGTCTATATGGGAAACATCACGGAGAGTGGTATGCTGAAAAGTTAACAGTTGTACACAGCCTCCCATGAGGAGCCCCGAGGTCTGCATCATTAATCTTTATAACACTCCCATGAGAGAGGCAGGAGGTGCGTCCTCTCGGCCCACATTTCAGAAGTGAGGGAATGGGGCACATCAGTGGGGGAGATGAGTTAGGGTATCAGCAGGGAAAAGCCCAAACCCCTGGAGGTCTCTGCCACACTCAGCTGAGGTCTGACATCTCCCACGCAGGCTGCAGCCTGAGCTAACGCAGGTTTTGTCTTTAACAGGCGTGTTTAACTTTTCGGGGGACTGGAATGCATCCAGGACATCCACATCTCTTTCCACTATGCTGTGCTTTCCAGCCTAGCCCCCCAAGAAACATCTTATGCGGTCTGTAGCTGCCAGTGGATTCAAATACCAAGTCTCCAGGCCAAGGTTTTCAAAACGGCTCTGCTCCAGCTCCCCTCTTCCAGACACACTCCCTGGACACCCCGCCTCAGTGTTTCTTCCGCAGGCAAGCCTGGCCTGTGTGCCGGACCCCAGCACATCCTTGGAAACCTCCTTCTCATCCAGGCTCAGTGGCAGGGCTGAAAACAAGGAGGCCTCAAAGTCAGCTCCTCGACTCCCAGATCGACTCCTCCCAAATCAACAGACTTGATTTTGCTTTTATCATCTACAGCCTGAATTACTGTCTCGGGAAGGCTCCCTGTCCCCATATGTGGCTTATTAACTATTTAATGAGATAACTGATGAAGAATCTCCTTTACCATTCTCTATTACTTGTAGAACTAACGTCCACAATTACAACAGTAGAAAAGCAAAATGAATAGAGAGGAGAAAAAAGACAGCCAAATGTAAAATTACAGTAATAGGTAAGAAAATAAAAATAGACCCTCCTAAGAATGGCCTCTAAAGTGACACAAAGTTAACAACCTCTCAGATGGGTTTCTTTTTCAAGAGCTTAGAGGGGTATCTCTAGGGTATCCCCTAGGATCTTCAGGAACTCAAACAGCTTTTGTGAAATAAACTCCTATTTATCTAAAAGCAGAAAGTTAAAAAGTTAAAACTGAAAATCCTGTGTAATATAATCATTTAGGTTTAAAATGAGAACAGTTAATGTCTACTGAGCACTCAATATGTACACCAGCCACTGTGAAAATGTGTCATATGCATTACCTTATTCATTATTCTTAAATACTTACAGGGAGTTTTCTCCATTTTATAGATGAGAAAACTGAGTTTCAGAAAGGTCACTGGCCCTGGAAGCCAGGCACCCTGGGTTTGAATCTGGTTTTTTTCTTTCTTTCTGACTTTTGATGGTCATTGTTAGGTTGTACAAGTTTCTGCCGTGTCTCCTGACCATGTGAAAATTCACTTCGTTTGTCTGATTTCAAATCAAGCCTGATTTGTGCTCTGCCATGCCTGTGTAAGTTTTGCAGGAAAAAAAACCCCACCTCACTGAAGTTGGACTCCTAGTTTCAAGGGATATGGTATCAAGTAAAGTCATAAATGTGAAAAAAACCTTTGGAAAATATAAAAACACTCTACAGAACAATGAGGATACCACTGCTTTGAAAAATGTCAGGCGTGCAGGGTGATTCTCAGTGGCCCAGAATATTTTGAATCAAAACGCCTGCTCAGCTAACCCATGAGGACCCTAGTAACCTGATCAAGGGGTGTTTTCTCCTCCTCAGGAAAGCTGCAGAAACCACGGGTTGTTTAGAGGCGGGGCATTACAACCTGGAGCTCCGGCAGCGGGTTTCTGGGCTTGCTCAGCGGGGCACGGTTATGTCAGGAGTTACTCTTTAACAGGCAGGCACGGAAACGCCGGATGGGCAACCAAGTGTGAAGATGCAGAGGCCTACCAGTTACCCGTGGGTCACCACCAGCTGACCCGATTAACGGCCCGCAGCCCGGGGGTTTCAGGAGACCCCTTAATAGCCTTGTGTTAACCAGCCGGCCGCAGGCCCCTTCACGGTCTCACCTGATCTTCCAGGAGCTTCCAGCTCTCACCTGTGTGCGTGGTGTGAAACAGCATTAAAGAGGGCTTTTTAAAAATTAATTTATTTAATTGGAGGCTAATTACAATATTGTGGTGGTTTTGCCACACATCAACATGAACCAGCCACGGGTGTACATGTGTCCCCCATCCCTCTGGCTTGTCCCAGAGCACCGGCTTTGAGTGCCCTGCTTCATGCATCGAACTTGGGCTGGTCATTTATTTCACAGTCCTCGGAAAGGGCTGACCAGAGCTCATTACTTGTTTGGCCAGAGGGCTAAGGGGCTGGAAACAGACACGCTCTAGTTTCAGGTCTGGGGCTGCCCTCACCTCCTTCGTCCTCCCTTCTACGAAGGAGATTAGGGGGGAAGGGGGCGGGCAGTGTAGACGCTCGAGGGGCCGGGGGGGGGGGGTGGGGAGGCAAAACACGGGCCTGACCCGCGTCCTTGGAAGCCAGCCCACTACGGAAAGGAGGCGTGTTAAGCCCTCTGCCCCCCGCCTCCTCCCCCGCCCCGGCTCTGCGACCCCGGGGTAAAATGCCAGCGGCCGCCCGCGCTCCGCACGCCGCGCGCGGCGCCCAGCGGAGGAAGGGGCCGGCGGGGAGGGCGCCGCCCAGAGCCGAGCGGAGCGCGTCTGTCTGTCCGGCGTGAGCCTCGGGAGCTACACCTCCCGGACCCCCGCGGGTCCCGCGTCCCCGCCCGGCTGGAGCCCCTGCGCCCCAGCCCCGAGCCCGACCCCCTAGCCGCCCCGAGCCCCCTAGCCCTGCGCAGCGCGCAGGTGGCTCCGACGCCCCCGGCCTCGGGCGCCCCCCGCCGGGCACAGGCAGGCGGCGGCGCGCGCGGAGGAGCCGGGCGCAGGGCTGGAGAGGCGGCCGGCGCCGCCAAGAAGCCGCGAGCGTCCCCGATGGTGCCGCCGCTTCCAAGCCGGGCAGGGGCGGCGAGGGGCCAGCTGGGCAGGAGCCTGGGTCCGCTGCTGCTGCTCCTGGCGCTGGGACACGCGTGGAGCTACCGAGAGGAGCCGGGCGACGGCGACAGGTTCGCGCTGCGGGTCCCTGCTGCGTGCGCGCCGACTCTCAGGGCGCAGGCGGTACCCTCTCCCCAGACCAGCCCGCCGGTGCCCCGCGCGCTCTCGGTTTCTCCCGGCGCTCACCTCTCCTGAGCGAAGGAAAGCTTCGCAGACTCCGGGGTAGAAGCCTCTTTCGCGCGCATACCCCGGGCTCTCGCATTCGGGGCTCGGTGACACCGCGCGCCGCCCTCCTGCCGCCCTCGGTGCCCCGCGTCTGCACCTCTTCTCTTTCTTGGGGGCCGGGTTCGCTTCGTGGGACCCTCGCCGGGCCCGGGCCTCGGGGTCTTCCCTGCGTCCGCGCTGAGACCGGCGCCGCCTCGGCGCGCGGGACGCGGATGCCCGGCGCGCACTGGCCCCCGCTCTCGTGCGGAGCGGCCAACCAAGTTCCCCTAACTTTTTCAGAGAAATCTGCTCGGAAAACAACATCGCCACGACCAAGTATCCGTGTCTGAAGCCTTCGGGGGAGCTCACCACGTGCTACAGGTAAGCCCTGGGGCTCGGCTGGCCCGGCAGGCGCGCGCCCGGGCCGGTCGGGGAGGCGGCGCCCGCTGGAAGGGCCTGGAGGCGCGCTCGGGGACCGCGGCCCCCGCGGGGGTGCTCCGTCCTCTCCGGTGCAAACTTTTTTTCCTTGTGCGAGGGGTTTCTGAGCCGGAGCAACCACAGGCAACTGAGTGTCCACACCTGGAGTTCGTGCTCTCAGAACCTGAGGGCGGTGGTTTTCCGCTCCCCGGGATGCTGGCGTGGTGGTTGGAGAAAAGTCGCCAGTTTCATGAAGAAAGGGCATGGGACTGTGGGGTAAGCGGTGCGGCATAGCCAGGATGAGTGACTGCGCTTGCGTTTTGTTTTGAGCATATAAAGTCAACAAGGAAATTCTTAGTCCTTGGCTGTGTGTTGACCTTCTGCCGGGACAGAGTGTAACTTTGTCACGGCCTCTGTGCGGGCGGTGGATAAGGTTGTTCCGTAAAAGCCAAAAGCGTCAAGACCCTTGAGCCACAGAAGAGGATCCGTCTTCCTGAAAATTCGGTCCGTGTATCACCTGGGTGCTTGTTAAAAGCAAATGTGATGAGATCCAGGGCGTCTGATAGGAAAACTGCCCCCAGGTGGTTTGATTCCCAGCGAGGGGAGTCAGTGTTCCCTGCGTGCACTCTCTGAACGTGAGGGACGGTTCGCTGTCACCATAGGTGACCACAGGCCCTGCCCCCTGCCTTCACCAGAAGGAGGCCGCACCCACGAAGACTTGTGAGTTGCCTGCGTTTTAAAGGTATGCTGTTTGAGGTCCAGGGATCACACACACCCAGCAGACTCCATCTCGGGGAATCCTGCTCTGTCTAGGTGCCAGAATCAATCCTGGGTAGTACAAGGTAACAGGGTAATCCTCAAAGTGAACTTGAAAGAGAAGGAAGTCACCCTAATGATGTGGTCTCACCTGTAAAAAGCTGCATATGCTCTAAGGCCCAGGTGTGAGTGGTTTCAGGGCTGGTCAATTTAGAGGTACCAAAGCACCGCCAGTTACATCCCAGATCACACTTTAGAAATCTGTTGTCAACAGAATGACAGTGATGACTTCAGGGAGGCAACGGTCCTGTGAATCCTTGGGAAGGGATTCTCTGAGCCATGGATGGTAAACACTGAACAGAAATGTGAGTTAATAGGGAGGACTGGAGTGTGGTTCAGTTGGCAGGTAAAATCTTGGAGAAGTTAGCGGGGTAAGCAATGTCTACCCAGCTGGGCTTCTGACCTGGTGGTGGCAGCTTCAGGATTCTGCCTGGCTCCAGCCCTGCGTTTCATCCGCACTGTTTTTTAGGACTCATTTCCCCCCATCACCACAGCATAAAACCTCTGATTTAACATGGAACGTGCCCCTGAGATGGTTTGCTCATTATTTGGTCCCTGAAAGTCAGGCTGCCCATAAGTCAATGACAATTACAGAATGCATGTCCAATTTTCAGAAGCAATAAGAGCCCGAATAGCCTTCTAAGCTGATTTCATTCGTTACGCTGTTACTATCATTCCCACCCCTCCCTCCCCGCCCCGAAACTTTTAAAAACTGTTTTTTCCTACACTGAGACTCAACAGGAGACATGAGCAGTGTCTTGATGTGTTTTCACTAACCACTACTCAAACGGCTTATGAGAGCTAACAAAAAGGGTATCTTCCTAGGAGAAAAGAGCTTGGAGGGATGGGAGGTGTTTTCAGCTTGAGAAGATGGTGCCTGTGATTATTGTCTCTCTGGTTTTCCTCTCAGAGTTCTGAGTGTACTTCACTGACTTTATGCGACTTCCATAGTTCAGTAACTTCCTGGAGACAGTCAGCTGGCAGCTGCTGTCCCTGTTTTGAACCCTGAGGATGGAGGGACGCCGTATGCTGGTTGGTTTGTGAATCCTGTCGTCTTGGCCCTGGAGGCCCTTGCTTCTCCCGGCGTGGTCTGGAAATTGGCACAGGCGTCATCTGGGAGCTTGTATTGTCTTGGGGCCCTGCCCAGCCCTCCCGATCCAGAACTTGCATGTTAATGAGATGTGCATGAAGGCTTGAAGGGCTGCCATGGAAACCAGTGTCTCAACATGAGTCACGATGCAGGCCCACTTGGACAGATCCTTAGGAGCTCAGAGGCCTCCACAGTTGAGCGGGTAGTTAGTCCTTCTACCACACTGACATAAAACCAGAGAAAGAGCCAGCCTTCCAGGAAGCTGGACTCATCAACTGTTGGATGACCCTTAATTAAGCTGAGGGAAGTGTGTCTGACTGCAGAGAATCCCAGTTTTAATAGAAGTCTCTTGTGAAAGGATTTTTGCACAAGAGAATAGATCCCAGAAGTCACTCCTGAATTGTAGAAAGTGATTTTTTTAACACTGACTTTTGAAAAATCGTTGGCATGGAGGATGAGTTTAATATTAAATAAGTAAACAAATATGGTAGATGTGGGTTATAAATCTGATCTACCATTATTCCTGAAAGTATATGGAGACTTAAGTGTCATAATATGGGTAAGAGAAAGATGGGGTGGGAATAATATTTGTCCTGGACCCCACCACTACCTGCGTACAACTGTTTTCCATGGTTTTACCTAAGCAGCATCTTTCCACTTTATATTAAAGGACAGTTGGAGGACTTACTGTATATTCAGCACAGTCCTTGCAGTTTATGTACACATAGCTCTAATTGCTCAAGCCACTCTGTAGCATGTGGGTGTCTGTTTTGCAGAGGGAACTGAAGCTCTGGGATTTAGTCCACTTGCCCAGAGTCGCAAAGTTAACACACGTGCCAGCCCAGGTTTGTCTGGGACCTTTTATCACCCTGGAGGTGTCTACAGATGAGCCTGAACTTCCAGATCTGAGATCTAAGTAAGGAAGACTATAAATTGAAATAGATACAAACTCAAGACAAGCAGTTGGTAATGCCAGCATCCACCGTGACCACAGTGGTTTTGTGAGTTGCCATGGCCCTTGATCTATCTCAAGCAGTTGACTTCATGTTATCATATTATGCACAGAATTGGTTTACGCATAGAGAGCTTTCCTTCCCTGTAAGGTTTCTTTCATCTTAATCACAGTCTGTCTCCAGAGACTCTGCACCACCGTCCTTTGAGCCAAGTCCCTGAAGTTGATGAAATGCTGAATGAGTGCCTTTGGCAGCTTAAAGGACACATTCGCTCAGTGTTATAATCTGACATACGGTAGAGCATATCTTTTACCAGTAGTTAAGATTTTACAGTTTGTGTGACTTATCTAGGCTCTAAATTTATTTTACCCAAGCATATAAAGTTATCATGGCATTTACCCTCTTGTGGCTAATAGTTTTTTCCTGTTCCCAAACCATGTAATGTTTGAACAAAATGTTTGGGTTTACTTTTTGTTATTTAGTTGCTAAGTCATGTCTGACTCTCTCCACTCCATAGCCCTCCAGGCTTTTCTGTCCATAGGATTTCCCAGGCAAGAATACCAGAGTGGGTTGCCTTTACCTTCTCCAGGGGGGTCTTCCTGGAACAGGGCTCAAACCTGGGTCTCCTGCATTGGCAGGTGGATACTTTTTACAGCTGAGCCACTGGGTCTCATCAGTAAAATGACATGTTAAGGGATTTTTTAAAACCAGAAAATACATTTGAGCGTAGGACACATCAAGACATCAACTGGAGTTTGTATCCAATAAGTATGCTAGTTAAGTCTTTGGATACATGAGCCAGTTAAGGATTTGAGCATCTAATATGTGCTTAAAATAGTCCTAGAAAACCAGAATCGACTTTTCGACCAAGGACTCTCACTGTAACCAGTATACAGTGTACATGACTGAGTTCAGAGTTGTGTGGTTTTAGATTATCAGTGATGGGGGAAGAGATCAGAAGCACCTAGGAATGGCTTTATGGACTTGGTTGTTTTTAAGTGATTTTTTAACAGAAGGGTTTGTGTTTATTGCATTCGCTCTGATCCTCAGCTGTGTGGTTCACGGACCTCCAGTGGAGGCCCTCAGCTCTATTAGCCCCGTCAGTGGCGCCTCATTAGGGTCACGTTCCCGTGGGAAATAATGACACTGGGATGTGAAAACTCCCACTTCAAGATAATGCAGTAGCATTGCCAAATCCTGTTAGCATATGGAAGTTAGCATGCTATTTCTGCAAATGTGTTTACTTGGAAATTGGAGAGCAAGAAGGTCACTTCATTAGAGCAGCAATATTCAGACAGAGAGCCCGGGACTCTAGCTAAGACTCCGTTGGAAGACAAGGCTGGAGAATATCCTCTCTGCCAAGTCTCCGAGTTCCTACACAGGGCTTTGATTGTGTCAAACATGCATAGTATAAAAAACTCCATGCCCCGGTTTGAATTCAGGCTCTCCCGCTTGTTCTATAACCTTGAACATTCCCTAGTCTCTGTTTTCGTTTTCTCCTTGGAATACGTGAGGACTGTGTTAGCACTGGAGTGACAAGGTTACAGGGAAGATGGCCTGATGCACGCAGGCCGCCCTCGACGGTCAGCGCCCCTCAGGCTCCCCGTGTCTCCCCTCATCCTGCGCCCTGAGTGCACGAACTGAGTGCTCAGCGGACATCTGCTGAGTTTTGAACTTGACAGTTGAAATTTTTGAAAGAGCAAATTCAGACCAGAGCCAGAAACCCTGAGGGTGTTTATGCAGCAGTCACACGTCAGCTGTTTTTAGATGCTTTTCCAAATGTAGGCTAGCCCAGAAGTCTAACGCCTTGGGAAAATTACAGAAAGGTTATCTTTTGCTTCCTCCCTCCTACCTGACTACACAATGTCCTCCATTCCTGTAACTATGAAAGCAGGCGGCAGACGTAGCTACCCCTGTTTCAGAGGCGTGTAGAGGCTTGCTATCTGTCCAGGGTCGTGAAGGGACTTACTGGCAGAGATGGGGCTCTCAGCTCCTCAGCCCAGTTCTGGCCTCTGCCTGCTGCCTCCCATCCTGTGGCCCGAATGCTCAGGACCAGCTCCGAGGGCAGCTCTGAGCAACTGTTGGCTTAATCAGGGCTCGTGGGC